AGCCTATATTTATAAAGACTAGACTTAAGGTAGAATATCCTAGCTAAGTTTATTATAAGAAAATAGCTTAGTAAAGAAAAGTAATTAAATTATTTTATATAAGAAAGTAATAATATTCTTTTATAGAAAAGAATAATAGTATTCTTTTATAAAAAAAATATAATAAACTTACTTTCTAGAAAAGATATAATACCTTATAGAAAAAATATAATACTTTATAAAAAAATTTAAACTTTATATATTAGAAATTTTTCTACATAATTTAAATTATAGAAAAAATTAATTTCTTTATATATATTTTAATAATTAATAAATTAATTTATTTTAAATTTAGAATAAAAGGTTTTAAAAACTTAATCTAATTAATTTAAGAATTTTATTTTTTTTAAATAAGTTTTAATCTAACTATAACTAGATATAACTTAACCTATTTCTCTTATTACTTCAAGGTATATTATTAATATTACTATTCTTTATAGAAATTATAAGTCTATAAAAGTGTGAGCGAACTTATTAAGTTCGCTATTGCCTCTATATTTAATAATAAGTGATATTGCTTACTCTTAGTAAAGATCTAAGGTCTTAGTTAGGTAGGTAATAAGTGACGTGAAGGCATCGCTCCTCTTTGCTTTGAAAAAGGGTTAATCTTGTTTATTGACATTATATAATGCTCGCTCTTCTAAGTACTCGATCTCTTGGCCCAACATACGAACCCTGCTTCCAAAACCAGAAGGCCGCCACGAAAGTCGTACATCCTCCGACAATAACGCTTGCATAATTCATGTTCTTCGCCGTAACCGGCAGGTTGCCAGGAAAGCAAAAGATGACATCGAAAGCAATTATGTAAGCACAAGCAACACCATTGACAACAAACCCTTTCACTCCAGACATCCAGAACCAGCCGGGCGTCACGCTCTTTCTTCGACTCAGTAGGTGTGGTAAGATTGCACACAGATAGGAAAGCGTACTGAGCAAAACGTATGACGCTAGCAAGTCGTTGAATGCTGTATCTGACCCGAGATAGATACATCCAAGAAGTATTGGGAGTACACCACAAAGTGCAATAGATCGTGAAGGGATACGCGAACGCGGCGATAGCTTGCCGAAGCAATCGCTAAATGGAGTAGCGTGATCGCGAGCCAGTGCGTAGAATTGTCGACTAATTATTACGTAACAGCCAAGTGTACCCACGAATGTGGGTAGGAATGCAATCACCAGCAGGCAAACTGTCGCTGTCCGTGAGGAAGTCGCTTGGAGGTATATGAGAGCGAGTGGAAACGTGGTTTTGTCATCGAGTAGATGCTGAAGATTGTTGACTGCGTAGAATATCGTAATGAGAAAGGTGAATCCTGTAGCTATCGAGAATATGTATTGAATGAAGATTGCCTTAGGGATATTGAAACTTGGTCTGTGTTATCTAGAGTCAGCAGGCAATATCAAGGGGCTCGGGCAGGCGGAGGCAGTGACAAGGGATCATACCTTGGTATCTCCTCAGCCATGTGTGCCGGAATATCTGGCCCACCCACTGCAAAAGCCGCGTTCAACATTCCAAGACAGAACACAAAACCATTACTCGACCACCCAGTCTCGTTCTGTGTCTCAACCCAGACCTGTGAGTTCGATGCATAACCCGTATCTTTCTGGGTGGGCATGATGGCGCAGACAAGAACAGTTATCAAGAAGCCGAATCCACTTGCAAATGCGCCAAAGTTCTCGATATAGTGGAGATATTTATCACCGAAGAGGACCACAAGTGAGCACACCACCGAGCAAAGGAGGAAGCTGATGAACACATGCCAGTTCTGCTGCTCATACTCTGGATGAACGGTTGAATACATTGCGACGGTCTGCAATGCCATGAAAAACCCGAGTGAAACTGTTGCCGTCAACCAAGCGAGGAAGTTCCACCATCCAGCAAACCATCCACAGACTCTGCCGTATTTTCTCCCACCCGTAATAGAAGCCCAGTGATACACCGTTCCCGACGACGGCAATGCTGATGCCAACTCAGCAATAGAGGCTGCTATAAACCAGTAGAAGAAGGACGCTGCCACCAAGCCAAAGATCACACCAGGAGGTCCCAGGTTATAGATGGAGACAACAATTCCACTGCCCAGCGCAACCCATGACTCGCCAGTCGTGAGCGTGATGCCACAAATGCTCAGCAGACTCATTTTGCGCTCGAAGCGGATGGAGAGTTTTCGCACTGGTATCGGCTTCTCCTCAAGCGGAACCTCGGGCTGACGTTCTGGAGCTTCAGCGAAATCACTGGTGAAGACATTCGTCTTGAAATCCATCTTCACGGCAGTTGCTGATAATGATTACGAATTCGCATGAGTACGCGTGCAAAGGTGGATGTACGCGCACGAGGGCATAACCTGCACTTTACATTAGAACAAAACTGGCCTCTGGCTGATTCGGATTGCAACACCTTCAGAGTCGCGTTGCTTCGACAGAGGGTGTACGTCGACGGCTTATGGTTTGGTCCGAAAATATCCTCAGTAGAATGAATGGCTGCGGTATACGGGGCGAATCAAACACCTCTGTCCATCTTCGCTAGCATGCTGATCACAGTCGCCACGCGTGTTTTTGCCTGTCACGCAAGACAGGAATCTCGAACATTCCATATCAAGCCTTCGTACGTATGACTAGTGCCTTTAGACAACTGGCGAGAAGAGAATTCTCCGTGTGGAGGACATCCAGGGTTGCTCTCATTAAAGTTCGTCTGACAACATGGATCTACTTTGGCCTATAAGCTTCGCCACAAGAGATCGATGTTCTAGGCCTTTTTAGCGCTCAAGGGCTTTTCTAAGTCTCCTCCGAACATGTCCTTGTTAGCGACCTCAGCCACTAAGAGGTCCGGTGAACAACGCCGACCATTTCCGCCGTCTGAATGGAGCAAGCCAGTCCTGATCGCTGAATAAACTCAAGAATCTCGATAGTGACTAAATTATAGCTCGAATAGTCGTGCGGCTTAAATGACGAGCCCGATCCCTGCGAAAGCCAAGCGGTGAGGCGGCTCTTGAACCGTTGAAACCATCATGACTTTGGTACGTTTGCCTCAGCTCTACCGAGCTACTGGCTTCGGTCTTTGGATAGGGTGATGCACATAGTAAGGGTGTCGCTTGTAGAGCGGAGCTGAATGCTCGGAATGCGCAAGGCTCAGCCATACGAAGCTGGGGATGGCGATGGTCTGGATTAGCCTAATGAGCCACTGGCTTTGGACAGTGAGCTTGTGCGGCCATCGTAACGGATGATAGAATGGTTTTCAATTGTCGACAATGGCTTTGGAGAGAGACTATAGACATATGATCACTATATATACCAGCTCGCAGTCACAGAGCTTTCGTTGAATCACTGTCTCCAAGAGATCTTCAATAGCTAAGTTCTGAAAACATCTCCACTTCAAATTTCAAAGCTCAGCAACATGGTTGTCAAGCTCAAGGCACTAGACTTTTCGGACTTCACGTCGAAGTCTCCTCTGATCCGCCAGCAGGTTGCACGACAAATCGTTGACTCTTTCCTGGATCACGGTTTTGTGAAGCTCGTGAACCACGGTATCAGCGATGAATCAATTCAAGAGATCTTCGCCTGGGTTAGGGGGCTTTGACTCTCCTTCGCATCTAAATGCTGACGACAAGAACAGAGTGCGAAACTCTTCGAATTGCGCGCCGATCAGAAACTCAAGTTTCTCAACATTCCATGCCCAGATCCGCAACGAGGGTGGAGCACCGTTGGCGCTGAGAAAACTGCTCAAGTGCATCGCGCGAATATGCAGCAAGGCATCAAGAGTGATTTCCTGGATGAGCGAGTAGGTCTCACAAATGCTCCCAAGGAAAATGCAGCAACTAAGACGTGAATGTAGGAACACTTTGACTGCGGGCCCGTTGATGACAATCAATTTCCAAATCGATGGCCAGACCAACGTGATTTGCCTGGCTTCCGCGATTTCATGGAGCGATATTACCATCAGGCCCAGATGGTTAGTCTGCAAATCATGAGGGCTTGCGAAATCGGTCTTGAACTCCCCGAGGGTTTATTGGTCAACAAATGCATTCCTGCGGCGAGTGAACTGCGCCTGAACCGCTACCCGGCCGTCAGTATCGAAAAGCTGCAGTCGAGGGTGAAGAAGCGGTACGTGATGAAAAGCAGATGCATGATCCGAACTTGAGCTGATCAGAAGTGGTAAGGACATGGCCGCATACCGACCTTGGAGTCGTCACTCTTCTCTTTCAAGATGCCGTCGGTGGCTTAGAACTAGAAGACCGTCGGAACGGAGGCTTCTCTCCTGTTATAAGGGATCATCCGTTTGAGATGGTCGTAAACATCAGCGATACGCTACAAAGATGGACGAATGATGAGCTTCGAGCAGGTCTCCATCATGTGACAACGCCGGTCCCCATGAAGCAACAAGAAGCGGGAATGCTCCCAGAGAGGTTTTCATGCATCTTTTTCCTGAAGGCAGATCGAGAAACGTCCGCTGGTAGCTTACCCACGTTCGTTCGATCCGGCAAGGCTGCAAAGTATGAGGACATTACAGCGATAGAGCTTCAACACAAGGGTGTAAAAGAACTCTATGCGCCGGCATAAGAACGACTGGTGGAGAGTGACGGTCTATAATCTTCAACGAATATTTTTACTTTTCCTAGAATTAATAAGAGTTGCCACTTTCGATCTGCTAGATAAGCGAGGAAGATGCACGTGCATACTAACCTGCAAGCCTCTGCGCTGGCTTCGAGTTTAAGCTTCCTGTCAATTGAACTTATGTACACTAAAAGCCCCGATCTTAACAGCCCTCCCTAGCGTGCGATAGGCTCTTGAAAATGCTTGGTCAATGTTTAACGAGCAATCCTGGGAATGATCTAGGAACACAGGATTGGCTACCGACCATCTTCAACCTTCGGACCCTGCTCTCTTAGCCGATCTCGTTTGCATCTAGAGGCTAACTCGAAATTTAGGGGATTCTCGGTGGCGAACCAGCTCATCGGAGGACGGGCGCATCGAGTCGGAGCGTAGATCCAAAAGGGACCAAGCCCGTACCTCAGCTCTAGGCACAATGTAACTGAGAGGGCGTAGACGCTCAACTCCTGGATGGCACATCATCTGAATGGTAGTGGCGACGATCATTTCAATGTTCGAGACCACTCGGTGGAGACCACATACAACTTCGATTGTAACAGTATAAGATGTTTACTCATCTACCTTTCTGCTCTTTACAAATTCAGTAAACATTCCCTTGTCGAGCTCTTCAAACCTCAACGCTGTCGGATCGCAGCTATGACTTCACAATTCGACGCATTCTATCGTGGGGCATCACCTTTCCCATCTCCCAACGAGAGAGATGGAGAAAGCGTTTTCTCTTTCGGATCAAACTTGCCGACTCCGTTCACTCCTGTGGACGAAGTCGACCCACTTGAGAAAACCACAATATCAGAGATACTAGCAGCCCCAATCCCTCAAAATGTCTTCGCTGCAAAAGGATCGGAGTTTGTGCACAATTGGCCGTCGACCATCTCTCAACGTATCGAGAACATTGCAATTGAGCAGCCCAATGCCGTGGCGATCCAAGAGAGTTGTGGTAAATCAATGAGCTACCAAGAGGTCATGGGGCAAGTCAATAGAGTGGGATCTTCTCTTTTGGGTCATAGAGTCAGGCCGGGTTCAATGATCGCCGTCCTCTGCGAGCCAACCTGGGAGTACATCTGCGCGCTCCTCGCTATCCTGCGATTGGGGGCAGTGTATGTACCTTTGGATAACCTGCACCCCAACGATCGCTTGGCCGTCATTGCGAATGATTGCAAAGCTGAGGTAATCATCTGCCAGGACTCCACGGTAGCAAGGGTTCCAGCTATGAATCTTTCTGTACCTATCATCAACGTGTCAAATCTCTCATCTTCTCGCGAAGTCCCGATCGATGTGGCCTACGACGGCACTGCTTTTGTCCTCTACAGCAGCGGCACAACTGGCACCCCCAAAGGCATAATGCTTTCACAGCGAAACGCATTGAACCAGCTCGTCGGCTGGCACCATCTCTTTGAGCATTCAAAAGAGCGAATCCTCCAACAAGCTGCCCTTGGCTTCGACGCTTCTCTCTTTGAAGTACTCTACGCTTTCGCGTATGGTGGTGTCGTCTTACTCGCCAACAAAGAGATCCGTAATCAGCCGCTCGACCTTGCGAAATTCATGCTACAGGAGCAAGCTACCTATACGGTCGCTGTCTGTTCAGAATACGTGGCACTATTGCGTTACGGGGGAGAGATTCTAAAGCAGTGCAAATCATGGAAATATGCTTTCAGTGGTGGTGAACGCTTAACGGCGAGTCTCAAAGCGCAGTTCCGTTCAATCGGATTGATGGACCTAAAGCTCATCAACATGTATGGTCCGACAGAAATCGCTTATTGCTCTGCATACGGTATCGTTCCGTATCACGATGAAGACATATGGGATAATAAGAACGGTAGCCGCGTTGGTGGCATGTTTCCAAACTATTCCCACTACATCTGTGATGAAAATATGCAGGCTCTGCCACCAAACACTCCTGGCGAGATCTGTGTTGCAGGCGTCGGCGTTGGGCTAGGGTATCTGAACCCAGAGCAGAGCGCAAAGAAGTTTTTAGTCGACAAATTTGCCACCGAAAAGGAGCTGAGACGAGGCTATGGCCGACTGTACAGAAGCGGTGATAAGGGTCAGATGTTAGAAGACGGGACACTGATGTTCCTGGGCCGTATGGAAGGTGATGCACAAGCTAAGCTCAACGGCGTTCGCGTGGACCTCGAAGACGTCGGTAACACTATCCTAACACACGCCAAAGGTGTTCTTTGTGAGGTAGTCGTAATGGTGAGAGGAACCATTGATCCGTTCATGGTGGCTTTCGCAGTTCTCGAAGATCAACGACCTCTTGATCAGGCTCAAGAATATCTGAGGACCCTTCTCACCAGCATGCCAATTCCACTGAATATGCGCCCGGCAATCATCATCCCACTTGATTCTATGCCTCGAAACGTAAACGGAAAGGTAGACAAGAAGGCCCTCGCCAGAATGACGTTGCCGCAACAATCTACACCGCGAAGCAAAGAAGAGCTCACCGTCGCAGAAGCCCAGTTGAAGGCACTCTGGTCTAGCATTCTCTCCGATGGGAAGCTTGGTTTCCAGATCACCAGATCCACCGATTTCTTCGACGTAGGGGGCAATTCCATTCTGATGATCAATCTCCGAACCCTCATCGCCGAAAGTTTCGGGGCAAATGTCTCTCTGCACGATCTCTTCGACAACACCACTCTAAAACGCATGGCTCGCAGGATCGAAAAAACATCTACCGAGAGCAGCACCTTCGATCAAATTGACTGGAACCAAGAGATCGAGGTGGCTCTAGGTCAGCTTCAACCAACACCCAGCCAAGTCATCCTTCTTATCGGTGCCGAGAACTTCATCGGCGAGTCAATTCTCCACTACCTTGCGGCCGATCCCACCGTGCGCGAGATTCATTGCCTCGCCATGCCCTCTGAAGCCTCCCCGTCTAATGAAACTGCATCTCCGAAAATCATCCACCACACTGGCGTCCTCTCTTCACCCTCCTTCTCACTCTCCCCAACCCTCGCCTCCTCCCTGGCGCAAAAAGCCACGCAAATAATCCACGCCGGCGCCTCCTTCTCCTTCCTAAAACCCTACCAGACCCTGCGCGCCTCCAACGTATCATCCACCCTCTCCGCCATCCAACTCTCCCTCCTCAGCGACACCCCCAACAGAGTCCCCGTGCACTACATCTCCACGTCCGCGGTGAAGAAGTTCTCCGAGGGGGTTACTGGAGGCTTGGAACGACGGCGCTCCTCGCTCTCGCTATCTGAGCCGCCTACTGATGGCAGCGATGGGTATGTCGCCTCGCGATGGGCGAGCGAGCAGCTTTTGGAAGCTGCGGCGAGGAAGTATGGGATTGATGTGCAGATCCATCGGATAGCGGGGGTGACGTCTGAGAAGGCGCCCGAGACGGATCTGCTGAATGCTGTGCTCAAGTATTCTAAGGTTTCGAAGACGGTTCCTGATTTGGAGGGGTGGGAGGGAAAGTTTGATTATCAGCCTTTGGAATTGGTGGCAGGGAAGCTGGTCAAAGAGGTATTAGGCGGTGCAAGGGAGGGAGGGGAGTTTGGGGGGAGACGAGGGGTGGCTGTGGGGCTGAAGACGTATAAGAGTGGGAAGGGCGTGCTGGCTGTGGAGTTGGGGGCGAAATTGGAAGAGGAGACGGGGGAGAAGTTCGAGAAGGTCGAGTTGCAGAATTGGGTCCTCGAGGCCAGCAGATCTGGGATGAACCATTTGGTTGCGAGCTATCTGAATAGTTTGAGGGGAACGAGGACGGGGAGGAGGTATAGTCTAATGAGCGAGTAGGTACTTTGGCAGGGTTATTTTCAGACTTGATACGGAGGTGTCCAAGTTCATGAGTGTTCCAACGTCCTCAGCAGCTCTATCAAGATCTTTCTACTAAGATCACTATGTGAATTACTAGTACTAAGCAAATTGTGCCAGGGGTTCATATACCTACATCATATCGACTAGCTCCCACGTCGTGAGCTCGTGTTCATAAAAATGAAGATGACATATGCAAGTAATGCGGTCTTAATTTGATTGACGCCATCAGACGTTATCGGATGTAGGCAGTTGTGTGATCGGGTTAGGCTTGATTCGGGACCAAGTTCTGAGTTTGCATGACTGTTGCGCTGGGAATGGTCTCTCTCAGCCTTGCTTAGCCTTCTCGATGGGTTTTCCGATGTTCTTTGAATTTCTCTTACCTATTTCGAAAGTATTGACATGCTGGAAGTGCTTGACCAGCCACCTCGTGCTGCAAAATTATACAAATGGACGAACACTAATTAACAAACTTGATCCAACATCCGTCTATATTATCATCACCTCATGTCTTTGACGTTGAACACATTGGGCATGGGGCATTGACTGTCTTGCGGAGTGTCGCAAGCTGATAATAGTGACGCACTCTTCTTTGAAACAGCCCTGATAGTTCTTGTTAAAGACATGCGCCAAAGCGTGTGTCTCCGTGTCTTTGATATGAGCAATTACCCCAGAGTCATATCATGGAATTTACATGAAACGCAATACACACTAGCTATTCTTTCTATTATCTCCTTCCTATTCCGATAAGCCAATAACCCTTCTTGGGAAAAGACTCATCCCCAAAGAGCATCTACGCGATCTCCTCTTTTGAACTCATTCACTTGCTTTTCACGCTCCTCTACCTGCTCTCTTAGTTCTTCGATTTTTAACCTCGCAAACAGTTCCACTATTCTTGTCGTGGTCCCCGAGTCTCTCCTGACCGCCCACTCAAAAACAATGTGTCTGTAAAGTAGGCCAGCCAACCCGCTGCAGATACATATGAGGAGGTGAAGAGGAACGTCGTCGCTTAGCCTGCGCAGAAGAGGGTGCTTTTTTAAGAAAAAACTAGTAGGGCTGGAATAAATTTGGTTTCACTGTGGGACTACGATACTGGTCAAGCTGACAACAGCGCCGAAGAGAAAGCCGGACTTGAGGCCGCCATGAACGTGAATCCCTGAGTCGAGAATCTTACGATCGTGAGCAGTGAGCCCATCTTCAAGGCGAGTATCTTTGGTGACATTTTTTGCGTGATGGTTCTTATCAATGGATTGATCCTTGGAATCAACACTCTCATTGGGACTGAGTGCTTTGTACATAGTGCTTGATGTAGTATGGAGGTGAAAGTGTATGCTCTGCGATCCTGAGAGATGCAAAATAATATTTGCGGTCGTTGCACATTCGTCCCTTGCATACCTCAGCACCCTTGCCGAAATGAAATTTATCCCCTTGCATACAATCCTCACCAGTCTTAGCGCCCGTCTTCGCCCATTCTTCGAATGATTCTCTCTATCCACCACCCAGTTATTTTCCCCCTTGTCTTCAACCACTCTCCAAAAGCAATTCTCAACCGGAATGTGGGTCTGGCCTTCAGGCGATCTGGAGAGCAAGAATAGGGGTGATCTGCGTAGCTACATCGTTCCGCCTTTCCACATTTTCTTCTGGGCTGATACAGTAACAGTGCAAAGCAGACATGGCACAACGTACCCTAAAATTATTGACTTGTGGATTAGTCTAGCAAACATCAAGCAAGAGGAGACGAACAATGAGGTATACAGGTACGCGAAAGCGTAGCAAGGGGCCCCTTCGAATGTTCGGAGACATGTCTGCCTAAACATGGGGACTGCGATGTTTGATCCTTCAAGAATCGAGCGCGAAGATGTCTTTACATGCACCGTGATCAAGGTGCTGACCGACTGAGCGTCCCCAGCCTACAATATGTTCGGTTACGGAGAAGACAAATGCTTTAACAAAGACTTCAATGAGGGTCTTCTCGTTGTCTAGGAGGATAGGAATGCGCGAAGGGTCGGACAAGCTAGCATTAATAGCCAGCCTATCAAGCATGCGCCTTGGAACCAACGGCCAACGGTACTCGAATGAAAGACGTTCTGAGTGATGCTTCTTGGCAGGCTTGTACTATCCAATATACCCGCACGATCGTAACTGTCGAAGCGTTATAGTGGCGTTCCCCATTTGACAGCCTGCCCAATCTCCTTCGTAGCCGCATTATCAGTATCAAGTTGCTTCAAGTACTGACTCGCAGCCGTCTGCTCCTGCTCCTGCACAATACTAAACTTACTCTCCTCATACTGTCGATCGCTTCCAAAAGCCTCCTTGACCAACTCATCCTTCCATTCAGGCTTGAAACCCTTCAGCACCAGAAGTCGCTCTAACGGGGAAGCATAATAGCGCTGCACAGAGTGCGCGCTCTGCTGAATCACCATCTTGGGGATGATGAACTCAGGTAACGTGACAGTCACCGCTGCCTCTGTCTTCTTCGCCTGTCTTCCGAGCGAACGAGCCCACTCCAGCCACCCTTGGTCGTCATTTTTGGCTTTGTAAGTCTTCACCCACGAGAAGCCTTTTCCTGGACCAAGAGACGTGCGCACGAACCCTTCCAGTGCGCCACATTTCCAACCCGTATTGGCAGCTTGCGCATGGTATACCACCGGATGGATGTACTCGCGAGAATCGATCTTGCCAGGATAATGGCCAGGAGTACGGTCCTCATAGCCACCAATGTTGTTGATGCCGCCGGTAGTGGGCACGATTGGTCCGATGCCCCAGCCTGACTTCTCTGTCTTGTCGGATCTGCTGATGAGCTTGGCTAGAGAATCAAAGTAGGCGATCAGGATCCAGGACAGCGCTTTCTCGTCAAAATGCAGGAACGGGCGACAGCGGTCTACCATCCAGGCGAAAGTAGTGTTTGCCATATTCTCGAGATCGCCACGCTGCTTGTCGGTCTTCTTGAGCGCGTCAGAACTACCGCCTCCGATGTTGACATGAACACCGGGAAACCAGCATTGAATGAGATTCGTGGTCTTGTTTTCCTTTGGTATGGTCCAGAGAGTCGGTGAAAAGGGTTTACGACGCTCGTCAAGTGCCAGCGCATGGAAAGCGTTCTCAAACTCTAGACATAGACAGTCAGTCAAGCTTAGTCGCTAGGAGATCTCTTGGTTTCTCACCAGGATAAATGTCAGTGTTGTGGAACATGTATGGCTTGTTCCATTTCGCGACATCGAACAAGATATTCTCAGGCCAGCCCAATGCGCCAACGGTATCGAAGACGCCCACAATCTTAATAGCAATATTCTTGTGACAGTAAGCCAACCAGGAAGCACCTTCGCCCTTGCGGACTTTGACCGGCGCAATCTTTTCATCGCCTTTTATGAGGGTGATGAAGTCGGATTCCTTCAATTCTTGTTCCGACTTCGCTGCAATTGTTGGGTTTGGCTTGCCCCATTCAGTCTCCTCGAGGGGAGTCGCCGGGTCTTTGGTCTTGTACACTGCGTACATCTCCCAGAATCGCGACATTTGCTGCACAGTTCAGGACCGTTTGTGGGGAACGCATGGTGCGACATAGACTTACGATATCTCGGCATATACCCACGCGTGCGACTAGACCGGCAATAGATCGAGCGGTGTAGGCGCCACGGGAGAAGCCAAACACGAAGACTTCATCCCCGGACACGTAATTTGTGGCAAGGAAGTTGTATGCCTCGCATACATTTTCGTCAAGTCCGGACCCGAAGTATCCTGTGAGGCATGAGCGATGCCATACAAGCGCAATGGTACCATTACAGACCGGCTGTTTTGCCATCCAAATCATCGGCAGTAGCCACGCCCGCATCATAGAACACGATCTGCGGAACAGCTTGGCCTACTTCATTGATGAAGCTTTTCGATAGCGCTCGTGACAATTTGGCTATATTGGAGGGTACTTCGTGCGCTAGAGAAGACGGCAATATTCAGCATGCATACAAGGTCACATCGAGTGAGGTCCATAAAGCGGAATACGCACTCGCGTGATTGGCAGCCTGCCAGGTGCCATCGCAACAAATGATCAACCTTTTGCTTGGTGGTTGCTTTGGGGGCTGAAATCCTGTTTGCCCTTCCATTTTTCTATCAAGACCAAGAACAAAGAATGATGAACAATTTGGCGATTGCTGGGACATATATGATATTATGGAACGGAGGCCTGGGCCGCTCGTCTTTGTGGGCCAGCACATGCGCTAATGCACAACCAAACAATGTGATGCCCGATACGGAATGGTTGCAACGGGAAGTGGTTAGCGACATACCCTTTCGGCGGTCAGCCAGCCACAGACAGAGCTGGCGTACTTCTAGACCCGATACTACTTTGTTCTAGACCGTCGTTTGTATGATGAGCCAAGTTCTGTGTGGACAGGCGGCAAAGCCGGCATGGGTCACGAGCAAAGTGCTTGCAATATGTTTGTCAATAAACAATGAAATGGCATCTTTGTCATGGTTCTCAAGCATGGAAAAGCGGAATGAGCGGAGCAAATAGGTATATTTGAAACCTTCTTTGGTATATGATCAAGTGATAGTGTAGTGAAAACTCATTTAGAATATGTCAGATGCCGCTCCTGTCCTCCGACCATGCAATCTCCCTCTTTAGGAATCTGCATGCTGTACTCAGTGCAAGAACTTGGTCGACTTCCTTCACTTCATGGCGAGTTCAACTAGACCTCAGGTGAACGAACTCACCCGAAACATGGGATTGGTCACCCCTTCGCAAATCCGTTCTTGCCGGGGGTCTCAGTCGAAATTTGTGTGAATGAGCTCATCTGTTATTAGATGTCTCAAACACTGGGTCACACGCGATACTGGCACTAAATATCAGGAATATGTAAGGGTGCCAGCTCTTCTCGCCCATGACACCCGTGAGGTTCTCACGTGAATGTGCTCAACCGGTGTGAAGTGTCAGTTTCAAAGTGACACATGTGAGACATGGTCTGAACACATAGAACGTGTAAGGCTGGTAGTGCCTATATAAGGGAGCTGCATCCCCCCATATCTTTTCTTCCACGGCGCAACGTTTACCTGTCCATTCATTATCATTCCTCATCAATTCATCATCAACCGGAACCAGAGAAGGACCTTCTACAACGGCTGCAGCACAATGTGATCCTAACGCAATCTTAGCAGGTCTCAGCTGCTGTGAAATTTCTGTACGACTTCGACGAGACTCTACCAAATTTTGCGGAAATCTCAACTGCAAAAAGAGCCAAATGCCTCCTGCAACGGCCATCCTACATTGACTTGCAGGATAATATAGGAAGTATATGTCTGTGCTTCTCAATTCTCAACGAACGCACTTATCGGAATGAATTGCGAACCGAGGACCCGGACCAAGACGACTTTGCAGAGCCTGCCCTTGTTCGATCGGCCGCAAACAGAAGTCCGGCCTCTATGGGTGCAGGCAGATAATAAGTGAGGGTAAAATCTATAAATATATATACATCTCTCCACGTGAGGCTTGCCAACACCGATTGGATCAACATGAGCCCTATAAATATATATACGTCTCTCTAGATGAGGCTTGGCAACACTGCTTGGATCAACAAGTATTACAACGATCTGTGGAATCTGCCTGGGTAATGCTGAGGTGGGACAACTGGAATACTTCGACCGGCTGAGAATCCATGGCTTCATGGAGATATCGTTCCTTTCGCTAAACATCCTCAACGAATGTTTTACGAAAGAACAGAAAGCGCAACTGCAATCAAACAGGATCTAACCCTCGAGGTTGCGTGTCACGTAACAGACATGAAAGTCGACATCATTCCCGAATACTATCGATCTAAGAAATGGTATTCACAAGTGCCAAGTGTCTCCGAACGCGCACATACGAGAGCGCGAGAATTGATCGAGCGGTCGTCTGCTCAACATTTGTCTTTGCAAGAAGTGGAGCCGAGTTCCAAGAACCAGACACACGATGTCAATCCAGCATGGAAGAGAATGGATTCTCAGGACGGTGAATGGCATTCATACTTCAAGGATCAGCCCTACAGCAATAGAACAACAAGAGAACTGCTTCCAGCGGCGTTAGAGGCCACAAGTCTTGCAATGAAAAGAGGCAAATGTGGCATAGTCGATCTACCTTTCCGCCCTCTGTTCTGCACTGGTTCAAAGGTCAAAAAACAAGTTCATTTCTACTATGGGCCAGTCTCGAACATTGAAAATATCAGATCCGCACTAGCGAAATGTGTCAGTAAACACCGATCTGGCCATCAGGGGAAAGAGCCTCAACTGTTGAACATGTTATATGAGTTGATGGAGAAGCAACAAGTCCACCTAAACTCGCGAACACGTAAAGATGACGATTTGTATTTCAGCAAAATTGACGGCGACACGGTCGAAACGACTTGTCCTTGTGGCAATTACAGGTAGCTTGACCAAGGTCCACGATATGCGATCAATTGGAGCAAACACTATATTATGAGAACGTCAAGACGCTGCAAATATCCACAGTGTGCTCAACACAAGTCCTCGCTGATGAAAGCGGTCGCAGACGATTTACGGGGCATGGGCACGGGACAGCTTGTTAAGTCAATATACACATAATATCTCCAAGGCGCATCATGCATTATTATGCCAAGAGGAGGAAACCCACTACGTCCTACTGCCATTGAACTGTGGTGCTGTCGATGTGAAGAAGAAAAGAGAACACATCGAACTTTTCAAACAGGAGGAAAGGGCACTTGTATCGATAAGAAAGCACGATGGACGCATGGTCACTTTCGACCACTCTACTTCGCTCATGCAAGGGCCACATGTTCTAATCAAAATGGCGGTAGGCTCGTTCCACGGGACAAAGACATTCTATTCATCAAGAAGGCTGTGGGGAATTGTTGAAGTCGATGGCAAAGCCGAGTGTAAAGATGTAAGAAGGAATCAGCTAGGAAACATAGGAGATAGTTTAAGAAACATATAAAATATACAATCGTATAAAACGTATCACCGCTCACATCGCAAATCTCCTTTAATTGTTATGTAAAACTTTATTTCCCATATGCTTAAATCTGTATTACCTCTGCTTGACGAAGTCACTAGCGCAGAGCTGGAAACTCATGTTTGGTTTGCTGTCGGAAGTCTGTGACTTCTGAGTTAGATAGTCGCATCCTCCCTCGATTCGACGTGCTTGACTGGAGTGTTTTGTGATATTGGTTTGCAGGTTGCTGAAGGCATCGTCTTTCATGACGAGGTGCCACTTTCCGGTGACCATTCTTGCAAGCTGTTCTGTTTGATTTTCATTGGGTCGCAAAGCGTTCAAAAGCTCATTTCCGTCGAGCAATTTGATCCACTCGTCTCCGTTCAACTCATATTGAAAGCTGGCGGTACCTGTCGATAGACAGATTCTATGAGGATGCGGTCATACTCCGACTTCTGAGATCTACTCATTTCAAGCTTTTGCTGGCCATCGAGAACCTTGCCAAAGTTAGTCCAAATCAATTGAGGCGTGTATTTGATTTTCTCCCCCCCGTCTTGGCACTCTTTTTTCACCTGAAATGCGAGTATTTAGAAGTCCAGGTTGCTTAGTCGGAAAAAGGAACAAGAATGTACCATGAAAGGCTCCTTAATCTTACCCGGGATTTTCCTGAGAAGTGGCTCTCTTGCCACGCGTTCACTATATCTTGAGGACCTACGATTTGCCAGCTATGGTCACCTCTCTCTTTCAGTGGATTAAAAGCCTCATTGAAACGGGGGCGCATAACTACTGGCTCGCGAGTAACATATTGCGACGGAAGCTTTCATTGACTTCTGCCATATCATGAGACTTCAGACAGAAATGACCTTACTAAATTCTAGATCTACCTACTCAGCTCCCATCACCACTCAGACGCAATCAAAAGCCCACCGAGTTCGCAAGGCCAACAATGGCAGAGTACGGATGATAAAGCCTCCTTTCTTGGTTCGCTCCTGTAAGTCATCACTCGCAACGAACAAATTATCTGCGATTGTAATACTCTGGCTATCCTTGGATAAGCTCAGTTCCGTCAGATAAGTATTAGAATCTGCTTTACAGTCCAATACATTATGTCATTGTCAACGCCAGAATGAGACCGACGAGCATCTGCCATATTCCATGCATTGACATCCTTTTCTTTCGGGTCATCTCTGCTTGGCTTTTACTCGTCAATCTTCGCGTGAGGCTGTTTTAGGTCGCTTGGAGACTTCGCCGCGGTATGATTAAATGGCATTGTGCCTTGAAGAGCTTGCGTATAGATCTGAAATACGGCCTATGTACGGGATGAAGGGAGTCTTTGCTCAAAGTCTGAGAGGGCAAAAAGACCAGGCTTCGTTGACAGAGCCGTGTTTGCGATAGATGCGACAAAAACCGAGCTATTGTCCAAGCTTGACTTCATCTTCCAGGAGTTTCCTGATGAGTCTACAAATCCAGATGATTTGAAGAACAACTGCGTTCTCGTCACCATGGCACGGCTGATCGACACGCCGTTGTATGACTTCCTGAACAAGATGGAGGAAATGCAGCCTCAACCAGACGAGTCTTACATTCCGATTCAGAGATTCATTCAGCTACTCGAGGCAACGGAGAAGGAATCTCGGTATTATGAGTGTTCCGGGTAACGAAACAGATGTTCTAACAACGTGAGGTAGGTGGGAAGCGGGCTCCGACTTTGCCACTGACGATTCGAAAGTCTTCCGCCTTCACGAGTGCCAACAATGCGTGCCAAGAGTGGAGTGTGTATTCGATGGGAGGCTGCTTCAAGAAGCAGTCGGGAAGTCGGGATTACATCGCTTTCGAGAAAGGATCGGAGACCAATGGCAAATTTAGGGACTGCCAGACATCCGGCAAGACAATTGTTCCTGGCGACAATTCTATATACCTTGTCTTGGGCAACGGGCCAATTGACAAGGTCTGAAGTCGCTTTGCTCGTCTGCAATTCTGCGCTCTCTAAGGCGCGCTGCGTTGGCCTAGACTCAAGTAACCGAAGGAAAAGTAGAAGAAACATACGCTCGTTGCCTTTTGATATGATGACTTTTACTCGCGACGTGTCGACAATCTCACGTTTACTGCATTCGTACCGTGAGATGCGTACCCATCGAATCACAAAGCTTTGTCCAACCCCCACACCCTTCTCTCGCATATCGGAGAGGTTGTCGTTTTGCGTAAATATGGCTTGAACAAGAGGTCAATTCTCTACCGCTTTCTATCAATGCAAAGCGGCCTAGTATTTCACTAAACCTCTACATCCATGACACTGCATTGCGCCGATTACCTTGCCAACCATTTGCTGAAGTTTCAGCTGAGATATTATCTAGCGAGTCTCAAGGGGATTCTTGTCGTCGGTGAAAATAAAATCGCGCTTGAATCTTCACCAGTCCTTCAACCTATATAGACATTTGCAAGCTCGTGTTAAGGTGGCAAACCGGTTTAGATTGTTTTCTATCGCTACTGAGCGGGGTAATAGGTAGCCGTAGACCTTATAGCTTCCTTTTTCCTTCATACAAGATGTCCATTATGAATCCAGCTATCAGTCCGTGGGTTTGAATGAAATCGTCTATCACTCAAACACCAAGCTTCTCCAATTTCGAAGCGAGTGATCCACTACCTTATGATAATCCGACCCTGTGCAATGTCTAATTCATTAAGAAATCTTCGTTTCGTGCGCTTCTACATTGATCTGCATCTCGAAACTTTTAGAAGGGAATGCGGTCGTGATGGACATATTGATAAGTTCGTCCAGGAGGTGATCGGGGGTCGGGATCTTGCCCCCACCGCAAACAACTTGGACGAAAAAATTTGACTGAACCTCCAGCAGATAAGTGTATGACGGATAACTTGAAAGCTGTGTTGAATGACAACCCTTTAGCGAGAGTCATTGGATGACGCAAGCATTGATCATGTTCAATTTTGAGCCTTTTGCCATTGCTAAAGCTCGTTGGTCTGCCTTTTTATGTTAAGTGAGATGTTGTTCGTACATGAGAGGAAGATTAAACGTTTAGACTCACGGTCCTTTCAGTCCACTCAGATCCCCTTTTTTAAGACAAAAAACACCACAGACAATATGCTTTATACAATATCTTGGCAGAACTTATCTCCGAAGCTTATCTCCTGGTAGGAAAAATTTCTTCGAGCTATTACGACCGTGAGTCAGACAAGTCTAGTCCAAAGCTTGTACTGAAGCATTAGGAGTCCGTTTGACCCTTGAATGGATGGAATAACTTTGAGTCCAAGCAGTCCGTCCACTCAAACCGCTAGCAATCCACCAAGGCGTTGCCAGCGCTGCCTCTAAAGGAATGCGCTCATCAATCCAACATAAGTTTCAAGCTTTTGGTTGCAGGGTCAACGATATGATGTATCTGCACCACCGTTCATTACATGGGAGAGCCATTTGTGCTGTGACATGAATGTTGCACCAAGCAATCTTGTTGAGCCTGCCCACGCTGAGGTGAAAAAAGTTGCGCCACAGGATTTTCTTGAGAGGGATACGGGCTTTAAAACTTCAATATATTTTAGTTCTTTTGGCTTTTAGTTATCGCCTGGATGGCTCAGTTGGTTAGGTGAGGATTTGCAAGATTTCATTCCACAATCTCATCGCGTGCATCTACATCCTCGCCGTCGCGCACCAAAACTTTGAGTAAATATCTAACAGACATATCACAGAGCGGCAGTCTCATAATCTGCAGATCGAGAGTTCGACCCTCTCTCCGGGCAAATCCTTTTTGTAGGTCGTCAATTCATTTTGAATGAGGTACAGTGGAGTATCTTTCGAAGCCAAAAACTGTCCGGACACCTTGAATCCAAAATATCTTCATAAATCCAGAATTGGGTCTCGGATTCAAAAGTCGTTGCTTATAAACTTGCTCTTCAGAGAAATTTGAATTACTTTTGTACCAAGTACTATTAGCGAAACTCTCTCAATTGAAAGTTAAGAGGTCATGAAGATTTGGAGCTGCCCAGAGAGTTGTCGGTTCGGCGAGAGCATGTGCCTCGGTCGCCGGAAAAACAGTTTTTCCGAGCAGTCCCAAATAAATGCAGATAGTATGACAGCTGCGCGCCCTCTCCACGCTAAACGTATATATTTCGAGACTTCCATCACGATCTTAACTTCAGAAACCACCCAGCCTCTCGATCGAGATGGCGCCAAGTATGGTGAACCCTCAAGAGATGCGCAATCATACTATCACGCAGTCCCCAATTCTGGAGGAATCCATGCTTGCCGTCTCTCGATCGAAGCCCGAAAAGTCGCGAGAACTGTCCCCCCCGAAAGTATCGCCAAATGGTGCCTAGCAGCCGCATCACGCGCAGTATTACTCCAGATGATTCCAAACGTCGCTCTTCACCCATATTCAGCGAGCGTGACATAACGTCCGGCCCAAAGTGGTCCGGTATCGGGCTTGGCGATAAGATGTTGGATGATATTGACAAGAACGCTTCTTCTGAATTCGACTTGCATGTCTTCTTGGGTTTGTGTGGAGGTTGACAGCTCGAGCGTGAAGGCGCAGATGCTGTTGTAGGAGCCCGTCGGTGCTATGAGATGTGTTGTTTGAGGTTTTGTATAGGATGCAGGCGACGGCGTCTTGGTAGATGAACCATCGCTGAGGTAGGGCGATCGCCCTAGGTATCAGAGGTGAAGCAAAGATTAGGAGACGGCCTAGGATCATGCTTGTGGATACGAGATCTTCGATGACATCAGCTGGATGATATGGAAAAGCTGCCATGCTGGCTTCTAGAACTTTATGGAAAGCCAGAGGCCATCTTGCTATGGCATCGTGCGGTCTGAGCTCCATCTTCGGCTTCATGCTGATGGGCGAGAGACGATTGGGAAAGGCTTCACTTGTGCAGCCGGAGTGCCTGGCCAGTTGCATTGCTATCGTGGTCGGATGCGTACGTCAAAGCCAACATACTTTGCTTCGACGTGAGACGTTACGTGACGCAGTCTGCAAACTCTTCAAGTTCGATCAATCTCATGTTTCAATTAATATCTCGCCGTCCTTGAAATTTCAGCAACGTTAATTAATGCCTTTTGATCTTCTTCCACTTCTGAATTGCTTTACATTCCATTGCAGCACAGAACTTGGGCTTTGGGAACAAGTGTGGCATGCACAGTGATGATATCATTTAATATCGTACCACTATCATATTCTCTGTCTAGTTTTGAGAGCCCTCGAAGGCTTAATTACGTGAGTCTTAACGCTACTAAGCAGTAGCAGCATCCCGAGGAAACGATTCACACTCGCACATAGTCCACAGTGCCTGGAAATCTATTATATCTTCCAATGATCCATAAGCAGAGCAAATGTAACTGAATAACTGCGGTACGACCCGTCAGTCCCAAGCAAAACAATTCGACACGCCACACTCTGCAGAGAAAGTCGACACCCTCGACTCTGAACGCCCAGAACCTCATCCCCAGAGTCCAGCAGCAATGATGAGACTCGGATACACACTCCCCTCCACCCATTTCCCACACAACTCTCTTTCAGAGACAAACAACCTCTCAACTTCCCAGATAACCAAACTAATCCCCACCATCCACGCCATCATGCGAGTACACAGGCCACATATACTCCGCCCCCCCTCACCTACGGACGCTTCACCCTCCGCCTCAACAGAATTCGGCGCACTCCCACGGAGAAGATTGCTTAGAGTCGTCGACCGTGAAGTTTGTTCTGGAGGAACGTGCGCATTAGGAAACACAGCCGTCAGATTCAACTGAGCGGTATCGAGCGCCGAGTTTGTCCCCGTAATCCAGACGGTTACATGACTATTATATGCGGGGAACGTATAGTTTCCCCCGTCGTAAGACGCCGAAGCGTCGCCGTCGTTGCAATTCTCCATGACGCGTTTTGCGGCTGCAGCCACGACGCTCCTGTTAACGAGTTGGGGGGATGTGTCGATGATGAGGGTGAAGGCGCAGGTGCCGCTCCAGAAGGTGGAGGGGGCCTTCAGAGTTGAGGGATTGGAGGGGTCGGAGGAAGTGGGCGTTTTGGAGTCGTTGGGGAGGATTAGGGTGCTGGTTTTATGGGTGTCGATGTTTTGGAAGAGGGCGGCGGCGGCATAACAGTCCTGAGCGATGATGGGATCGTCTATCTGATTTGGCTCGTTACAGACGAGGGGTTTTTGCGAAGTGTCAGGTATTTGTGGGCGCGATGTGATGGTTGGAGGGAGGAAGGAAGTCATTACGAGGTGTGTCAGATGCTTGAGATGGACCATGGCTGCTTGGTGCTGAAGCTGATGAAAGATTAGAAAATGTGATGCTCTCCATAAGGCGATTTGGAATCGCCTCCTCTATGTTGTGGAGGAAGACTGAGTATTTAGACCCGCATCAGACGAAGCAGTGGGGGTGAGACATAGATGGGGATCCGTGTGAGCGGCTGAAGGGAACGACCTAATTTAGATGTCTGCAGCTCCACAACCGAACTCGGTAACGATGCGAGCCCTGAGCGCCAGTAGACTTGCTGCATATGATCTACAGCCTTGATAACGACGATTCATGCGGGCTTCAGCATAGCGCTGCGGAACCGCAACTTTTCGTTATTGAACATTGAAAGTAGGACAAGGAATTTGGAGAGCTAAGCACTCTGCTCATCTGGAAACTTTGAGAGTGACTGTGAGATCAATTGAGCATAGTGCTTATAAGTTCTGTGGAGTGACAAAGGACCATCTTAAGGATCGACCTCTCTTCTGTTATCAAGTGTTTTCCAAGCAAGCCACCGGTATCAGACGAACGGCCGATGTCTCTCGGCAATAAGTTGCCATATGCTCAGTCCTCGGCATTCAAGACGTTTTGAGCAACCCATTCTCGCCCTCTCGAAAACCCACACACCCTTTTCAACCCCTCAAAATCCTCCTCCGCAGTCACACCCGCTATTGTCCAGGCCCCAGACCCACACTCCCATTCTTATAAATCGGCCACGGGGGCAAGTAAGGTGTAAAGACCGGCAGGGTCGGATAATTCTTCGCGGCGGCAGCGTCGAGCGCCGTGTTCTTCCCCGTAATCCACACAGTTACATGGCCGCCGTATTGAGGAAACGTATAATTCCCTCCATCATAGGACAAAGCGGCTCCATTAGTAGTAGACTCGGTCGGGATGGCTGGGGTATCGCAAGTAGCCATAACAAGCGTGGCGGCTTCAGCCAGGATAGTGCGGTTGATGAGCTGCGGGGCGGCGTCGGTCATGGGAGTGAAAGCGCAGGTTCCGACGACGAATGTTGAGGGCGCGACTAAGGTAGATTCGTTGTATCCGTCGTGGGGCGTGTATTGATTGCCATACAAGACGAGGGTGGAGGTCTTCTCGGGTATGATGTTTTGGAAGAGGGAAGCGGCTGAGAGGCAGTCTTGAGGGTTGATGGGGTCGTCGCGAAGGTTGGGGTTGTTGCAAACTACGTTTTCTTTGGGCAGGGTTGGCAGTTGCGGTAAAGCGGTTGTGGTTAGGGGGCGTGCGAGAAGAGACGTGAGGATTGTGGGGTATATGTGCTTGAGTTGGACCATAGGTGCGACGCCTGAGAGCAGACTACACTGTGCGGAAAGGGAAGATGCAGGATACTCACAGATCGAATGTTGCTTATTCATGTAGGTTGTGGACGAATATCAGCGGCTCAGTGGTGTACGAGACACGGGACCCTCTTGAGCCGCTGAGGGGAGTACCCTAACTTAGATCCAGTGTTATTCGGAATAGTTCTGTATACCTTCACCAACGATCTTCAGGCGTGTCTGACAGCCATTACTTTCAGTGGTTCATCAAGCGAGCGGGTACCACTGATGTGGCACAGCCTTCTTTTTCGAGATCATCACGTAGACGCGCCAATAGATCCTTGCGTCAAGCAAGCGAAGGATCCAAGACATTGGCAGACTATGCTTGCAAGCCGTGATGATTCTCAAGCAGCTGGAATGCCATCTCAAAAGCTAAAAAGAATGGAAGTCCGCCAGAACAGAAATTGTATCATCCATGTCAAGGGTCGCAAGTCGATAGCTCAAAGGATACATTCCAGTCTTCCATCATGGGCGTCCAAAATTTTTTGAAATACTTAGTCTTAACGATGACATTGAACATACTATCGCCATCTCCTTCACTCGCAGCGAACAATCAAGATCGAATAACCTGCCAAGCTCCCGATCCTCGCAACGACGATATCGATTCTCAAGATTGCCACGCGGCAGCCCAACTTTTTTCCAGTATCATTGACAATGAGGATGACATAACACTCCATCAATACGCAGTTGTCACCCACTCAGCCGATGATCTGTTTGCCCCAACGGTATTCTGGCACGGCACCTGTGCATTTACAGCGTTCATCAAAGTTGGGGAAGTGGAAGTGCAAAAGTCAACGCTGGTAGACTCGGCCAGCAATCTCATCGACGAATGCGTCGACTCTGGAACCTCTGGGGGCGGGAATGTGACAATCGGTGCCTACGGTTATGAGGTGAAGGTCTGGATATCGGGTAGGTACACGACGGTGGATAGGGCTGACAAGGAGGCTTGGGTCATCTTTCCCAATGGATATCCTTGATCTTGGTTCTGGGATAGCGCGAGCAGACGCGCCGCATCAATGGCATTATCGACGGAAAACTGGAGCTCTCGTTCTTGCTACGGTGAAGCCATAACATCTGTCGACGTATATAGTGACACCCATTCGCCTCTGCGTTGATTACTCAGGCAGAGGTGTCACTCTTTGACTTCTTCGAAAACGAGCTGCGGCATCCATAGTGAGTCATAGTTTGTAAGGGGTGAAATTCCTTGTAACATAGTTTCTTGGAGTCCGTGTGTGCCGGTACATCTAGCTCGTGTTTAGTTCTGTCATGCATCTTGATTCTTGACTTGTGGTAGAACAATAATTTTGGCCAAGATGCAGCCAAGGCTTCTGCACAGCGGATGAGCGTCAAGCGAACGATTGTGGCGCGGTGATGCAGATCAATGTTGTTGTCTACGCGCGCAAACAAGAAATCAGATTATCCAGCGAAGGATCTGAGACATCAGCCACCGTCGTCTTTATGGGTGAGTGTCTTACAATGGTAAATGTAGAGAGAGTCTCAAGAGGCCACAAGATACTTCTCAAATACCCTGGTCATCTCCATGGACGCGAACAACAGGTGAATTTCTTTTCAAGACCCAAACATGATCCCACCAGCCGTTCTATTTTATCTTGCAATAGGCCTATCGATATGCCCATTGCTTGCCGCTCCCCCTCATCAACAGCGCAACACAAACGACAAACTCTCCTGCCAAACGCCAACACCCGCCCACGAGCCCATCGTCCCCAAAGACTGCTCCATTGCCACGGCCCAATTCGTATCTCTTTCCACCTTACAACAGAGTCCGAACATCACGCTCATATCAAACGCACACAACCTTCAAAACACCAACACTTTATTCGCACCAACAGTCTTCTGGCAAGACACCTGCGCCTTCACACTATTCCTAGACGAAGGCGGCAGCCTGGAAGTCGAACGCAGCCTGTTCACAGGACTCACGGCGCACTTGATCGACCAGTGCACGAGTCCGCAAGGCTTCGGCGGTGGCAATATGACTTTGGGCATCTTTGATCAGAGGGTGACGCTCTGGTTGTCGGACACGTCTTCCGCGTTGGATATTGCTGCCGAGTATGAGTGGCCTCAGTTTCCGAGCGGAAGCGTGGGACCGCCGCGGCCTTTTAGACCCATTAGCCTTGAGCCACCGCACTGAGGATACCGTGCATTGCGTGGCTGTCTCTGAGTCTAGTTGTTGACTCATACTCGAATCGTTTTTGTGGCCGTGTGAAGCGCCGAGGCTGGCAGACGTGAATAGGGGGTGGATATGGTGTTTGCAGCTAAGAGGATGAATGAGTTGAGTGAAAGGAGAGGCTTCACGGATCAATCAGTCTACTTAGGCGGCTCAATTGTCGGCGCTCTAGAAAAAACCTGGGTTCTATCAGCCCTCTTGTTGCGGATAAGTCAGAATGCTTTAGACGCTGGGGCATTGATGGCGTGATTGACATTTTGGACTACTCCCTTGGTTTCATGACATGTGACATCTTTGGACCATTCTGTAAAGATAAAGGCATTCATATGGTATCCCTACTTCCCACGTCCGTCTTTGCATGTGCACGAATTCCTCGACCCCAAGAACGGGAAGGCAGCGCCTTTCGAAAACTCTATGCGTGAATGGGGAGCGAGAGTATCCCGTGTCATGCGAGTAATATTTTTGTTCGCACAAGTCCCAATTCCTCCAAGACCCATAGATCTTCCTTCGGTACTTCCATCAAAACCACACAGCTCCTCTCGAAGACGCCTGCCGCATTAGACTCGATCATCAATAAGTAATGATCGACGAGACCATTACCGTCTTCTTCAGGGTGCAGAAATCGGGCAAGAAGCAGGAACTGGGCTTCACCTTTGTTCCTCCCCTGAGTAGTGCTGAGGTCACTTGAGCTTAGAACGACAAAGTAAATCCAAACATCTTCAATGAGAGTTTTGAAGTAGCGGAACCTCTTGGTCCTCGCTTTGACAATTTCTTCCCAAACAGCAGGGGAGAAACGGAAGAGGTAGCTTTCGATACAGAGGGTCTGGCTCTTTACTGCATGTTCCATATTCCAAAGGTGCGCAAGTGCATCGTCTTTTTCGCCTTCTTCCGAAGGTATGTTAGTCTCAGCTAAAGGGTCATCGAGAAGAGTCCTCTTTTCTGCAACATCCATGTCGCTGTACCGTTGCTCAAATATCTTTTCCGTGGCAGAATTTCCAGCTTTCCAGATCGTTAGATCAAAGAGCCAGCGATGTGTATCCTCTGGTCTATCCTCGGTAGGCTGTCCGACATATACTTGGCCCTGCCAACTCAACCAGCTCCACGTGGGAAATCTCTCGTTTCGTCGTTGGCCATTTTCCGGTTTCCAGAGGAGCGCCCAGTTGAGGTCTTCATTGGGTAAGGCCCAGGAAAATCCCTTCTTGTACGCAGTCTTTTCGAGGGCTTGAAGGATGCCGGAAAAGGCATACAGGGCATCGGATTGCTTGGTCAGATCACGGATAGAATAGATAGCGACGTAGAGACCGTAAAGATGGAGTGCGCCGTTCTCAAGGTCTATGTTAGCGGAAAAGGGGCTCCGGAGCACGCCGGTGTTGATTTTCCGCAGCACGGTATCTTTCTTGAATGAGTCTTTGTCGTGTGGTGATAAGTGTACGGGCGACTGGCGGGAATCGAGCGTCTCGCAATAGGTCAGAGCATTGCATTCCATATATACATGAAACTTGCTGATGAAGATGCATCTAGGGCTCAGGATCGCCTCCTGATATGTCCATCCTCGCTTCGACCATGGTAGTACCCAATTCAACTGGTAGAGAGCTGGCCCGAGTCCGAGGAGACGTGTTCCTTGGATATCGCACTTTAGTTGACGGTATGTTGTCCCCAGATTCCTGACTCGTGGTAAGCCAGCATCAGCTGAGTTACCATCGAATGCGACAATTGTGGCATATGCACCTTGGAATATATCGCTCATGATCCCCATTTGCTTGAGCTTGTCGTTTTCATTGTTTTGTTCAATGCACACAAGATCTACCCACAAATATCGCTTGTCGAGATCTCTTGTGAAAGCAAGAGCGTCTTCAATTGTAGGAGGAAGTATTCCAAGCTTGGTACCTGGTAGCCCAGCTCCAGCTACATTTTGTCTGCCCTTTCCCCATACATAGCTCAACGCCAGATAAATACGCGTTTCAGATGAATAATTTACAATACAGCGGGACTCCACGTCAATGAGCCTGATGTGATTGAGATTGTGAGAAGCTTGTGGCTTGCAGGCTAGCGAGTGCATGGAGTCACACTCTGTAAGCCAGCGACAGATAGAATCAATATCGACAGATCGAGGGTCAAGCTCCTTTGCAGATAATGGGATCAAAGGATCAGGTCCCAGCCTTGAAGCCACACAAAGCCCGTCTCCACGGTTTGATGCTAAGTCTTCTATTGAAATCCCTGTAGTGCTGGGGTCCAAGATTGCAGTGACATATCTGGAGGTCGCTCGCTTCTCTTTGGTGTCCATGCTTATAGAAGCTTCAAGACGGTAAAGAGACCAATTCAAAACCAATAGTACGTGTTGGTCAGCTGAAGTAACGATGGGGGTCGCCTTTCATCTTGTTCAAATCTATATCAATTTCAATTGGAGGTTCAGTTACAAGCCAGTTCAAGATATCCAAGTCTTTGCATCGTCGACAAACATCATGTAGATCCTCAGTATTGTCGTCAAAGCGCATTGACATCCGATGGTCCGATTGGAACCAGCCAAGCTCGTTGACTAATGGCTCGTTGTGGCATTCTGAGGTAACATGGCCTTGCCTTCTACAGATCAAACATAGGAGTGTCTTACTTGTCCAATGGTCATCCTCACTGGGTACTGAGTGCTTCATCTTTCCATGCAAGAGAATGAAGCCCGAGCAACTCAACGTGCACGATCCACAAGGAGGTTTCTGGGTATTTTGCTAAGAGAGAATGTATCGCTGAAAAACACAAGCTCCCCTATAAGAATGGAATTCTTCAAGAGAAAGCTGCCTGGTGGATCAGCCATTGCCCGTTGATGGAAGTCTCAATCTTTGAATCCATTCGTCAGCAATCTCAAAAGCGCTACCGGCAAAGGTAATCCCAATGATGTCATCATGCATACACGAACCAACTGTAGTACTCAAATGTAGATGCCACGTCTGATACCAGACGCAGACATCATATCTTCAATGATAGGAAAGTTCTATCTCTAGTCGGCTTGCTGGTGCCAGGTTCATCTAGATTGGCGAGTCTACCTGAGCAAACAGCTTCCTAGAGGCAGCTGCTTGCTAATCATTGACGGGCTTTCCAAGTGTGAAAATAGCAAAGAGAGAAACCGCATTCCATTGTTACCACAGCCAAGAGAAAATTGATTCGGGTAGGACAAGGGCGCTAGTCTCTATTGAATCTAGCGCTTTACGGCCAAGATGACGCAAAGGCAATGGAAGTTTTGATCCTTCAGCAATTGCTCACGACTCCACAACATCATACATGCAATCTTTGCATTGGAGAATGTCGGTCAGACTCTGAAGTTACTACTCGTGGAAATGAACGGTGGGAAATGTCAAGCCCAGTGTTTGTCCACGACTGCAACCTTCACTGATCCAGGTTCAATGAACATGTACTGCCGACGCCTACTCAATGACTGTCTCCCAAGTGATCGCATTGCACGTCACTCTTCGGTACAAAATAAACCGCTTGATAGATCTTGTGTAGCAAGCATTAGCCTTTCATTCTGATGACCGTCTGTCTGCAAAGGAAATGGTCGAATATCCATGGATGACATGCGACGAATACGACTTGCTTCCGCTATCAATCAAGTCTTGATTTGACGACTCACCTCGCCGTCTTCAATGGCGAAAGATCCACTTTTCGACCAGCAAGCACCTCGATTGATCCCATCGCAGATTTCGGGCATCAGTGCTCGAAAGCGTGATGCGCAACACATGCACATTTTTAGTCAGAATCCAGCCATTTCAACCGCGCCATTCGCAGCCAACCGCAATCGCCTAGGATGGTACGGACGTACTTCGTGCTACATCCCGTAACAGACAATACTAGATGGATTTGAGATCGCCCCCAAAGCTGCATAGGCACAGCATCGCAATAGGCTACGACAGCCAGAAAGCCTCAATCCTGTTAGCCTCTTTTCCGGCTTCTGAATCAGCACAATACGACGCACGTGACGCGACCAGCGTGGCAGACTCCCCACGCATCAGTCTTAGCGAAGAATTGTAGCTGTTCAGATTGAGGTGGTCGGGATATAGCTCGGGGCGCAATTGAAGTCTCGTAGCAGCCCACATCGATTCAACCTCGCTTTTACATCGTCGGCGATCTCGCAACTAGTGACAAGGCCGTAATTCTTACATGAGATGGAAGAACGAAGTGATGACTCAGCGCCAATCTTGCGACTCCAAAGCAAAATTACGAGGTATGGCGGTGGTGCAAAGGCAGTCTATCCAACTTATCATCGGCAGCAGAGAAGCTACAAGAGCCCAAAGCCAGACATGAACGCCCCCCTTTTCCCTTGTCGGAAACCACTTCTCGAAAAGACTGACCACCCCTCAATCAACACTCGACCGGAAGCACAGCTCATCTCCCCCCTTGTCTCACCACCATCACCGGCCTCCAGTAACAACCCCGTCCCTCGTATCGCCCCAGAGCCTCCACCCCCCTCTCGACCTTCAACCCACCCACACCCAACCCAGCCCAATACCAAAAGTGCGCGACACATACCCTCCTCACCTACGTCCTCGCCCTCCCCACCTTCGACACAGCTAAGCAAGTAGAAAACGCAAGGCCCAGCCCGAGCCCGAAATCCAACCCGAGGCCACGCGCGCCCTCTGCGAGCGGGACGCCATCCCCGCAGCCGAACCCGCGGGACTAGGTGCAGGTCATCGAACGTCCGTGGGGTAAGTGAGGAGATAGTGTAAGCTAAGCTAGGGGAGGGAAGGGGATGAGGAGGAGATATGGTGGGTATGCGCTGCTACATAGTGTGGATTCTTGGGAGCGCACGTGCGGCAACGATGGAAAAAGTGCCTTGGGTGGTCGTTGCGTGATGTGCTTTGATAGTCATTATTGTAGGGCATGATTCGCTGACAGCTGTGAAATGGGCAGATTCGAGATGCTTGAGAAGAGGGAATGCAGTGGGATGGGGCGTGAACCCACAAGACGAGACTGAGCTAGCTGACAGGTTTGGAATACACAAACTTAGCAGGGAGAATGACACATCCTTGCTTCATAAGACTTCATGAGAATCTGAATTCTTTAAATTCTATGGTAGCGACCGTGAAGATATTGCCCATGATGTAAACCATCATGCGCAATCGCTCGAACCTCCGCAGAGGGAGCAGCAGTGTTCCGTATACCTGCTCATCTTTGCTTCCCCAATTGGGTATATACAACCTCAAAATCCCCCCAAAAAAGTCTATCTATCAGAAAGGTAAAATGGCCGTGAATCTCTCCCCCCTCCCTTCTTTTCGTAGAGGAACTTATGACACCACATCCATCAACCCCCTCGCATGCACATGTCTTGCATGCATCGGGCTCCGCTGATGAACCGCCTTGTGGCCATGCGCCTCCACCTCCACCTCCCCAGCCTTCTCACTCCTCCCCATCATCATCATCTTCTTCGGCGCAGGCGCAGGCTCGCCCTTCCCCACCGTACACGTAAGCGGAAAATCGCTCTTCTCAAACTTAAACGCGCCGACCATACTATGGAAAAGCTCGGCGGTATTCGGGTACCTATCCGAATTATCACAAGCCTGAAAGACCGGCGCAACAGCGCCGACGCTCTCGACATGGGGGCCCTGATGATTCATACACGCGCCGCTCTGCTTATCCTTCAGCTCCTCCGGACAATTCGCCAACAAATCGTACCCGCAGCCCAAGGGCGCGCTATCGTTCTTGCTATTGGGCCAGCCGCCGTTTGCGGTCTCGCACGTCACGGCGGCGGAAAAGCCGTTGATCAGGCTGAGGTTGCAGTTGTAGAATTCGGCGTCCGATTCCGTGGCTGGGAAGAAACATTCGAAGCGCGTGTTGGGGTCGAGACCTTTGGGGGCGTTCGGGGCGCCGATCGAGATGGTGCCAGAGCCCGGCCCGAAGCAGTGAGTGCTGTCGTCGATGAGCCCTTCGCCTGTGAAGTCGCCGAGGGCTTTCCATGTGTAGGATTTGTCGCCTTTGAGGTGGATGCAGTTGTCGCCGTCGGCGAGGGCGAGGGGGCGGTGAAGAGCGCGAGGCTGGCTGCGCGGGTGAACTTCATGGTTGTTGGTTTTGTTTTTTTGGTATGTTTGGTTTTTTGGATTGGAGAGTTGGTGGTGATGATGTTGGTGGTTTGCGGAAATTGGATGATACGATTGAGCTGGAAGAAAGTTGAAGGGATATAAAGGAGGGATGCGAACAATAAGCTACTGTCGTCGCTTTTGTCGCACGGGTGTCGTGACTTTGAACAATGGTTTTTTGGTAACAGAGATGGTGTCGCGCAAGGAACGTGTCGTCGAGACAATGATCGCAAGCTTCAAGCGCGCAGAGAATATGGCACCTGGCCAAAGGAGAGACTGGAGTTGGGTTGGGAATACAATTCACCAAGGAATGACTGCTCTGGGCTTGAAGGAATGAGTTGCGAAAGAAAGGAAAAGAAGGAGAGGAGGGCGACGTGATATTTCTAGACTCGTAAAATGCCGCACAACATGGCCGCCTGCGCCCGCGTCACACAGATAGCAGTGAAATAGCCAGAAAAGCACAATGCACACACCGCATTTCACGTTACCTAACCCCAGATGACTTGCTTCGCTGGTGCAACGTTTTCGCCCGAGGTGTGGAGCGGCTGTAAGCAATCGTTCATTCGTGCCTGCAAAAGTCAAAAGGAGGCCCAATTGTGTTTTGCCAGCGCAGGAAGAAAAGCGGGTACCTGAGGCGAGAAGAACGAACCACAGGAGAGACCAAAGCCTACCAGGCCTTCGGAAGGACCGGTTCTGGCACCGGTGCATGCGCAGAAGCTTACGTGGAATCCTGCAGCGTGGTCAATCTGGTACTCTTCCCCTCTTGCGGTTTAGAGCATCAGCGTACCACGGCCCAGCGGAGCTTCAAAGTTGGAACACTCTTTGTTTCGTTCATCTGGGTGAAGTTTGAAGTCAGCAGCCCCCGGATCCCGTCGCAAGTGCCACCCGTCAACATGGTGGCCGTGGCCGGAACGGCAGTTACTGACGGGCACCGTTCACGGTTCGCCGCGTGAACTGTTTCCCAAGCCACACAGCAGGAGACCGTCCGCTGTTTACGTGTGCGCCGCTCGAACCGGCGAGGGGAGGTCGCGTCTGTACCGCGCAGCAGATTCGCATGACTTGATTCTCTCAGTGTACAGCATTTCGTATTGCTACATGCACCTTTGGAGCGGGCGCATGAGGTTTTTTCTGTTTTTGAGACGAGGTGTAAGGCAGTCCAGTCGCCCACGTATGCAGGCCATGCGTGTCTCTGCCCTCTACTACTCGATGCGTGCATAGTGCCGAT